AAATATCTGTAAAGAAAGACAACTTTCATGATAAAATAAAGGCTACAATAGATGTTTGTACCCCGTTCTCCATCCTGAGCACTGTGTTATGGAGACTGTTGACGGGGAAGTGTTCTGATGTGATATTACTGTCGCTGTACTTAATTACCATCTTATCACTGGACGTCGCCGGCCAATACGGCTTACACTGAAAAATACACCAACTCATTAAACCTGCTGACTGATTGATTTATTGCAGATTTAAAAAGATACCAGTCCTGAGGATATTTTCTTACTGCAATGACAAAGCCAATAATTAAATTTTTCGAACATACAGTACAAGTTTATTGCATTATAAGATTTTTTTGAAAATTGAGACATTTTCTTAAGAAATAAGGTATCATTTTTTGAGTTTTATTGAGATGTAAAACGGGTTGGTCACGTGATCAAATCCCATAAAGCCCGAAGGGCTTTATGGAAGATTTGATCATGTGCCAACCCGTTTTACATCTCAATAAAACTCAAAAAATGATACCTTATTACTTATATTTACATTTGTGACTTATTCATACTTTATATTTGCCTGATTGTTACTTTTAACGTGTGAAATGCGTTTATTTTTCAAACCAATGCATACTATAAATGTCTATTGCTAATGATGTACTTTGATGGGCTACCTACCTCTCCCACTGCGATGTCCAGCCAGAGATCTGTAGCCTCGTTCTCCTCCATGTACCTCAGACCACGTGAGGACTTGTTGACCACCAGGAAGAACGGGGTGATGGTCACTATCCTGGTCAGCTTCAGGTCTGACCACTGGAACTGCAGCATCAGCTACAAGTATAGTGGATAATGGTTAAAAAAATTATTTTACAGAATGAAATGCAAAATGGAATATTGTTATCAAAAAAAAAAAAAATTTTGAAAGTCATTTTACATGAATTTTATAGAAAAGCTCTATCTTTCCTCTGAAGATTAAATCATCATATGCATGTTATATTTCTTCAAAACTGAATTCAATGCAAAATGTTGTAAGTTTTATATACTACATTTCTGTCCTTTATTTTACTACCCTAACTCATTACAGATAACATTATTTTTTTAATTTAATAAAAAAATTAATGTATACATTGATCTTCAAAAATATCAAAGAAAAAGACTATTTTTTGGTTTATAGCAATCTTACCTTCTTTGGTCTATTCTTCTTGAATCGGAATAAAACAGGTGAAGAAACATTTGATGGACAATCAAACACAGCATCTGATTTTGAACCCTGCAGAAAAATACATAAAGATTCAACTAAGGTGCAGCAACTCATTCAAGTTAATTGAATTGGATTTTCACATATTATAAGAGTATAGTATTTACTTTTTTAAAGATTCAATTCCCCTTGCAAAAACAAAACTATTATTATAATAAAAGCCATACTCTTCCTCTTAATTCACACTAAAAGAAGCAACATATACTTTTTGCTATCATGATAATATTATGTATTGTACCATAGTTAGGTGTGATTTCTTTTGTTAAATGTGTGGGTTTTCTGTACATAACCCACACTTTTCTATAACTCCGCCCATCGAGTCGTGACAAAAGAATTATTTATAAAACGACCATGCACGGTTTTTAAATGAAACAATCATACGGGCTTGTTATACCAAATTTAGGAGAGTAAAAAAGGAGCCTTGAAAAATGTTCAATTGTATACAGCATTTAGTTATAAATAACAGTTAAAAACGGCTATTAATACTTTAACTATAGTTAAAAGTGAAGAAAAAACTTCAGAAATCGCTTGATTTTAAAAACATTTTTTAAAATAGTGTAATGACCAGGGTGACGTTAGCTTAGTAGATTCCAATATATCGTTCCTTTAATAACCAACAAAGGAAACACGGTACATACTTGACGTAAAAACAACTGTACACTACTGCACTTAAATAAAGTTTTCGATTGCGGATCTAGCCGATCAGACATCTAATTTTCATTAAACTGAAATATACATGACCCATAAAAACATTTCAATCAACGTACCACTGTGCACGGCAAAGTTTGTATCAGGTTAACAAAAATTTAAGTTAAACCATTAGTTCATAATAAATTTAAATTACTAATATGTAATTTTGACGATTGAAATTTACGAGAAAAAAAAATCATATCAAATTAACATATATCATTAAAACCAAACTCGTTATTTTTTCAATTACATAAATCAAACTTTTTAAACGGGCCTAGATCTGTTTAATTTTTATGTCGCTTGCGTGGCGCAGTGGTTAAAGCGCCTGCCCTAGAGTCACGAAGTAAGGAGTTGAATCCCACTGTGGGACGTGGAGACCTACATGTATACAGTATAAACAGAGGTCCCATGTCGCAGAAGGTGTTGACAGGAAGAAGAACTCTCACTGTTCAATGACCCTCAGTGCCGAGTATAGGGCAAAATTTGTAGCAAAATTTGAAAAGTATTGTATACAAATCACTTACCCTATATTCGATGGACATGGTCAGAAGGACACGAAGGAGCGTAAAATCAAATACAATCCAAATGCATCTTTGAAACCAAACACTTAATGTTTCGATTGCGAACTAGTCCGATCGATTCCTAAGCTGACTTACATATGAATGATTTTTAAAAACTATGGTACAAGTCATTTACCCCATATCACACTGTTGATTATGTGTAGATACCCGATGGCCGTGGTCATAAGACAAAATACTATCATGTCATTATGACCACGCCCATCGGGTATCTACACATAACCAACAGTATGATATGGGGTAACTACTACTAAGAAACATTAACAGGTAAAAATAAACATATCAAACAGGTTCAGGTTCATTATACTTGCTCACCTTGACCTGAATAACCAGATCTGTTTTATTGACCAACCAGTAGGGACTGTATACATAGAGGTCAACCATAGACTGCTGGGTGGCATGAACAGTCAAGGTCAAATACTTATTGTTGTTTCCCTCGTTACCAAAGTCATAGGGTGCCATGGAGACGGCCTTGAACTCTTCCAGGGTCTGTGTGATTTCATACACCCCTGTCCAGTCTATACTCTGGTAATCCTGGATCTGTTGAAGAAAATCACGTCATAGAAATGACATGAGATGTTCAATGAATACCATTTACTTAATGATTTAGCTTACGATATTTCTTGCGTCATTCATTGAGATTTGAGCAAACTGTTTGTTGAATTTTGTGATTTAAATAATTATACAAATGAAATTGGATAAAGAAAATCAGCAAGAATCATAAGAGTTCATCTTTTGTCACTAGTACATATCAGTGGAATCATTCTATGAGTATTTAAATCATGTCACAGACAGGTAAATTGGAGCAGCACTTCTTATACAGTCAAACTTGGCTATGTTGAATTCAATGGTACCAAGGATTAACCTTCTAGATATAAAGGGATACAAGATATCCAAGTTAAAGTACTTGAAGAATAAGCTAGAATTTCGACTTCAAATCACATTAACATACATGTAGAAAAGACAATGTCATGTATCTATGGTATTTGAGATATTAGTGTTCATGATATTGAATGATATGTTCATTGACAACTGTAGTGTTTTTAGACAAAGTTTTCAAACAGGATATGTTACAGACATGTAGATATTGGTGTTAATTAAGCAGTAGTCAATGTGTTGTTTTAGACAAAATTTGCAAACAGGATATGATTACATGTGTTACAAACCTGTAGATGTAATTTGTAGCTCTGTTTGAGGTCAACACTGTGTAAATGACATGATTCTCCCATCTGTAACATCACAAAGGCTGACCGCGTACCCTAGTAACAGAAAACACAACACAATAACAGCAGCAATTCACTTCCACATGATTAGATTCACTATTCTTGCTAAAATATTCTAGAGCAATGAACTTCACAATCATTATATCATTTATTAAGATTTATTTTTCCATTTTGTCATGTTTGTCCACTTATCTTTTTTTAAATGTTAATCTTATGCTTCAGTCTAATAGTTTTATACTTCATTCGGAAAAGTATTAATTATAGCCGTTACCTGCAGTTATTTATTACTGACAACAATCAGTGAAATTATTTAATATGTTGATGTAAGAAAATACTGTACAACTTAATTTTCTTTTTTTTCTCATTAGAAAGTTAAATATTTATCTGTAGTTAATAAACCAAATTTAAGTACAGTAAAACTTTGTTATCTCGAACTTGAAGGTACTGAGAAAAAACTTTGAGATATCCTATGATTTGAAATATCGAATGTAAAATATTAATAAAGAATATGTAGTTCTGACTTCAAAATCACTTCGACATATCCATGGTATTCGAGATATCGGAGTTCAAGATATCAAAGTTAAACTGTATTTGTCTTGATAAACTATATTCTAAAAAAAAACATGTTTTAAATTCCACTTTGAAATTCATAACATCAACATTTCAAACTACCTAACACCTTGTGACTGACTGTGCTATACAAAAGGCTAAGCTGCGTGTATAATTTTATATGAACATTTAATAAATTTATGATTAAGCGTGTATCAAAGGTTCTATGCAGATTAAAGCTGCAATTCTTTGTGATATATATAACTGATGGAATGCTTATAGTGGTGTCAATTGTATACATTTACCAATGAATTCAAAATGGTTTTCCCCTTTCCCCTAAATTGCTAATCCAGCAAGCCATATGACCTTGACAAAATGACCTTCATGAAAGACTGTATTTAAATCAGTAATTATACAGTTTAAAGCATCTCAACATTGACACTTTCCATCAACAGAAGATATTTATGAACGTTGACTTTAATTAACCTTTGTGACTTGATCCTGAACTGCGTAGTCATTTTGAAATTTCAATGTTCAATTGTTCCCAGAAAACAAGACTGAGCCAAAATGTCTTTAAATTTTTGTCAGAAAGAAAATAATTTTTAAAACATTCCAATTAAACAAAACATATGAATTATTTAGATCTTGTGCAAATACTTGTATGGTGACAGAAACATGAACCAAGTTTGTTTACCCAACTATTGTGTAAATCAGAAAGCATCTTAAGTTATAGGACAATAATGCAGATGATTTCCGTTCCTTTTTTTGGTTATAAGGTATAAATCACTACAGATATTGTTTGAAAACCAAACTATCTAAAAAACCAGAAGTCTCTGTCGAGACTGAAGCTCTACTGGTTTATACTTGAAACAAAAGAAAAGTAGCAGTTGTGACTTGAGACTTCAAAACAGCAATCAATAGAAAAATGATCCTTGGAACCCATTAAAATAAAAACGGGTGCACAGAACTATGTATCTTAGTGTAGTCTACTTGTGTGCCAAGTTACATTGAAATCAGACCAAAACTGTAGAAGGAGTAGTGTTTTAAAGGAATTTCACAGAAAATTTTATTTTTAG